GGGGGATGAGACTTATAAAGGAGATGATTCAATACTTACAAGCTGCAGAGAACCAATATCCTCACTATCAAACTTGTCTGGGAACCAATCACTATAACACGGTCTTGCATTCTCTTGTTAGGGCAAAAGAAGTATACACTCCTCCTTTCACTCTTTGTTGAATTATATAAATATATTTTGAACTTTGAAGTCTTAACAATCATGACTGCCTCTTATAATTCCAGGCCAGTATGGCTATCGCCATATTCGAAGGCATGAAATCATGTGGGGTCCCATTTGATGCTGCAACCTACACAATAATGGTTGATTGCTGTACCATAATAAACAATCTCAAATCTGCATCAACCCTAGTTTCCATGATGATCCGTGATGGTTTCATTCCGCAGATATATATTTATACAAGCTTTATAAAGGTAAATGATATCACCGACAACACATCACCTCTCTTTGATGCGTCCTGCTTGTTTTACACATAAATTGTTATTATGTTTTCCACTTTACAAGTCCTACATGAGTACCTCACCTCTCTTACCCATCACCTCCAAAAAGTTACCTTAATGGTACCTATATATAATAACTCCATCTCAATACAATTAATTAAGTTTTAATTATGAAATGTAATAGAAATGTACGTATCTTTTTCTTTTGGTAATAGAAAAATAAAAGTTGAAAATACGAAAAAAACCAGTTGTGATATGCTAAAAATTATTTTCAATTATGAAAGTGGGTAACTTTACATAGTCAAAACAGGTAAAATACATAGTAGCCATTTCATACATGCAGAGTATTTTAAACACTTTAGAACATTAAGTTTAGGTTGATATTATAAATTTACCATTATTGCTTTAAAGTTTTAAAGTTTGAAAGAAATAAGGTGTCTAACATTTCATTAGCCGTGTAAATAATTGAATTAGAAGCATACATTATTATATTCTCTATACCAGAATTGTTTTCTTGAACAGACATGATAGCTGTGTAAGTAAAGGCATCTATTTGTATTTTGTATTGATGACAATTACTGCCGGTTTTGGTGGTGCCAGATTCTGGTTGCAGCGGAAGAATTTGGCGAGGCATTTGAGTTACTGAAGAAGGGAATCTCAGAGGGGATTCAACCAGATGCATTGCTATATAACAGAATTCTCCAAAAGGCCTCTGAGAAGGTATAACCCCCATAAATATCATGTGACCTTTGCTAATTAGGAATTTGCGATCAGGTTTAATTTTCATTTGTAATGATAAGCAAAATATATTTTGGCTGCAGAAGCCCCTTGGGGAGTATTTGGTTCACTGTTTGTAAGATTATAAATGGACCCTGAGAGTTTCCTGTGTGTTGATTCTCAGGGACGGATTGATGTGATTGAGATGTTTGTGGAGCAGATGCATCGGGACAGAGTTCAGCCCAACTCTTCCATCTGCCGCAACATATTTCTTGCATATGCTGACCGTAGGTTCTATAAGACGGCTATGGAGGCATTGCAGGTTTTGTGTATGAGGATGATATCTGTAGATGAAAGTGTTTTGGACAAACGACGTGCCATGTATGAAAACCTTATTCTAAAAGAGGACACAGAGGAAGACAGTGAAAGGAAGATAATCGAGCTTTTATTCAATGAAGAGGAATATAGCAGTAGAGATGACCTTTCCATTGCCATGCTCATGTTAAGATGGTGTGCCATGCTTGGATTCCCAGTATCTTGGTCACCCAATCACAGCCCGTGGGCTAAGAGGCTATCGATTAACTATGACCTTTTAACACAAACCTCCCCAGATCGTAGCACTGGAAGATACCCTTGGTCTGATGTCCGGTCTAGACGTTAAGCACATAAATGTTCCAGATTGGGACCGAGGCGGGACCGGTGTGGTTTATTACTCCAAATGACATCACTTTCATGGCTGGAAGCCCTAACCTGTTCCTGTTCCCTAAAATGGGTACCAGACTGACCCTTACCAGCACAACAACTATTTTCTTTGTAATGGTTTGGTTCCCACTGCCCAAAACCGGCCTGAGAGTTAGACTAGAACTGCCTGGGTAACCCAAAACTGGACCGACCAGGTATATCCCAGTTACTCTCACAGTTCCACCTGCCCTATGACCCGGAACCAACAGGTCTGGAGCTACGCCAGGTCCATCAATACATGCATTTGCATCTTGCTCCATGGTTGATGGTCGATGTTACTTCAGCATTATATTTCACATAATCTTCTCTTTGTTATTTCATGGAGGTTCTTGTAGATACACCAAATCTCGTTACTAAGATGTATATAAGAGCATCTTTGATACTAGCCATGTACATTGAGGTTTGCTTCAAAAGAACGCCAACAATTTGTAGTTATGTTGTCCTTTCCATTTTTATGGTCTTGATCTAAATCAGTTGTAGAAGTTTTTGAAGCTGACAATTAAAGCTGACAACAGGTCTGGAGCTATGCCAGGTCCATCCATACACTTATTTGCATCGTGCTCCATGGTCGATGGTCGATGCTACTTCAGCATCATATTTCACATCATCTTCTCTTTGTTATTGGGGTTCTTGTAGATACACCAAATCTCGTTACTAAGCCGTGTATAAGAGCATCTTTGATACTAGCCATGTACATTGAAGTTTGGTAACTTGGTTCAAAGGAACGCCAGCATTTTGTAGTTATGTTGTCCTTGACATTTTTATGCTCTTGATCTAAATCAGTTGTAGAAGTTTTTGAAGCTGACAGTTAAAACTACAAACTTACTTTATAAGTTCATAATTTCATATTTATTAATTTATGCTATAAGCATCTCAAGCTACAAAGAAGCTGATGAAGTGATGAGGCATAATTTCAGTTCAAGTGTTCAACAATGTCTACACTTTAAGAAGATGGATTAGGCAATGCGACCACATTGACTGAAATGAAAACATTGATTCTTTGTAACTAAAAAGCATTAAACGCCTGACCTTTGGGAATAGTCATCATTCTTAATGTCACTACTTCCGGTTTCTTGAACTACAATGCGAAAGCAATGTTAGAAAATGGTTTCTAAGAATTTGTCCCCAACTGCCACCAAATTACACATAAAGATATTATTTGTATACAACCTTCATTTCAAAATGATTTCCACTTCTACTTTTTTTTATTAACACAGTTTTTGTTAATGAACGATAGAAATTACTCTAATTTAGTGATTAAAAATAGTGAAAATTTACTTTAATTCCTTATAACTCTACCAAATTCATAATTTTTTACTGTGTTTACTAGTATATTCTAGAGTATATCATTTATTATTGTTAAAGGGCAATATCCCTGAGATGAGTTTCAATGGTGTAACTTGCTTGACATTAGTGTGACCTCCCACCAATTGTGGATAAGGGGGTTGCATGTACGCAGTCTTACTCCTGTACTAGAATATGAGACTGTTTTTGGATAACGCATTATGAAAATCGTGTCAGACATTGCATGGATGATTGTTGATTTATAAAAAGAAGAACAATTTAGTTTAGTGAACAATTTCGCTTGACTCCACATTTTTTCAAACCAAAAGAGAGCGAGTCTTTGGCTCCTTTGAAAATTATGGAATACTTAGAACTACTCTGATTAATTTGTTCTTATAAACCACGCAATAAGACTCTGGCTTAGCAGATTTAATTAGACCTTGTGGCCATATTTGGAAAATGTATGCTTTTGTATATACCCCATTACCCCCCCCCCCCCCACCACAAATGTTGTATGTATTTTCATCAAGAATTTAAGTATTGGTAGGAAAAACAACCAGTAACTAGATTGCAAGAAAACACAACAAATAACAGATCATATAATAGATGAACAATTGTATCCTCAATTTTACAAGGGCTTTTATCCTTTTAGGTAGTATGCCACTCTGCACATTGAAAAAAACTACCCCTTGTAGAAAGAAAAAGCTAACCCTCTCTTTTTAGAGAGAAAAAAACTAACCACTAATTTATATTACCAAGAACTTTAATGAATTTATATCACAAAAAAATACTATGTATAGATCCATTTATGAAGTTCGACTCGGGCCCTAGTTTAGATAAGATCGACTCACTGAAGGCAGACATGCTCAAAAATAATTTATAGGAAAGTTAAGTATCAAAACATTCCATAAATGAAATCCATAAATGAAATCTTTCAAAAGGGGGTTATGCATCCACCAATTTCCAACACCTCTATCCACATTTTCCTTTGCCTTCTGTATCTTCTCTTGGTTAAACTTGAGTCCTGTGGTTCCTAGTGTACCAGGTTGTATCACCCTCTCATATAAAAAAACAGAAAAATAATTTGGAATACATGATAAAAAATTATTTTTACAAAATTGAATTCAAACGTTACCCTATTGTTCAAGAACCATTGCGGCCAGCAAATGGAACCAAATCTTACATGTTAAGATGACTCATTTACACATACCAATACACATTAGATACATGTGAATGAAGAGAATTGTAACTGCAAGGCATTGGAACAGAAGGAAATAAAAAATTAAAAATGATTTTAAGTTTTTATTTCAATTTAGGGAAAAGGGTCGGATAGACCCTTGTACTTACATAAAAAAAGTCAAATAAGTCCTTATATAGGAGTCTTTGTTCGGCCGTCTCCATTTGGAGCGGTTTCCGGTAGAATTTTTTGATGAAATTTTTTGAGCGTCTTATTCATTAAGTCTAGTTTACTCATAGCAAATTTCAACTAAAGTTCAATCGCGAAGGCATTCAAATGAATTTTTGAAGATAACTGTGCAGTTATTATTTGACCTTTTTATTTCAATTTGACCTTTTTATGTCAGTACAAGAGAAATTATAAATATGATTTTGTAATTATTATTTGGATAATAATGTTGTAACCACTTCTTAATCATGAATAATTACAAAGTGATATATTCCATTATTTTTAATGAGAAGCGTATCAATTTCAACATGGTAGCGAGAGAGTGCCACAATGGTTAGGTCTCGGGTTTAAATCCCGGCAACTGCGATGAGGGGTTACTATGCTGAAAAATGCATAGGGCTTCTGCAAGTACCGGGAACAGAGCCCCACTCTCTATCTGTCAGATTGTGATTATAGTCCAATTTACATCCTCTTATCATGTCGTCCTGTCGGTGGTGTTGGGGCCTCAGGGACGGGGTGTCATCCTCAATTTCAACATTATCTTGGATGAAAGACTACTACTGCGGGTACATGCCTTTCTCGGTATTCCTTTAATTCACGGTCATCTTCCTCAATTTCCTTCGATCGTTGTCCAGTCCTTCAGCCATGTTTCTGGTCAAGGTGAAAGAGTCAACGCCTGTTTCTCATTTCTTTTGTCTCTGGTGATTTATGCATGTTTCAGTTATACCTTTGCTAACGGAAATTTTGCTGTAAGCAGACATGGAGAACCACCTCATTTTCCATCTATGGGTATCTAAACTTCACCAAATCAGGGTTTTTGTAAGTAAATTTTTCTTTGCTGGTTATGTAGCTTGATTACACTTCAGAAAACGTAAAAATATATTTATATGTTTAAGTTTTATTTATTACTTTTTCGGTTACACTGAAAAGATAAAGATTATTTACGAAAAATGTGTATAGTGACTATAGTTACAAAAATCAGGAGTATTTCGAATAAATAGTTTCTTTTAGGTTCACTCGAAGTGTTGTTAAAAGAGCTTTACAAATTTACTTCTTTCAGGTTTTGTTTTTTAGAGGTGAATATAGAGATATTATCTTGGATTTATTTTTTTGATTTCTCATTATACCAGTATGTTTCTATGTTTTTTTTTGTAAATTTCGAACTAATTTCAAATCACACAGTTTTTTTTAGAGAGATGGAGTATTACTTAATAGCTTACACTACGATTTTAATTGGACTGTAATTTTCTGATCTGGTTTGGCCTATTTTAGTTTAGTCTTGTCTGGTAGATGTCAATGTGTATTTTACAACTGTTGAAGATTGGTCTGATCTGGGATTGAAACCAATCCAACTAAAAACATCCTGAAGCGTTCAATTTACTTCAAAATGTGCTTATTCAGGCATATCGCATTCGTGTTATGTTGCTGTCAAATTTAAAAAAGTTGAATAAGGTTTTAGTGAAACCATTCCCATACATTGTTTAACCTTGTTCCGTGGATTGACGAAAAAAGTTGTTGTGGTAACCATTGAAAAAGTAGTGCATTGTTTCTATTGCGGTCGTTCGTCAGTTCGGTTTTGATTTTATCGATTCAATCTTTAGTCGCGGTCGGTTGTAAAAAAAGTTAAAACGGAGAGCAGAACCACACAACTTGAGTCAGTTTCAGTCGGTTTTGATTTAGTTAATTTTGGTTGGTTTGTACCGGTTTCAGTCCGTTTTAGCTCATTTTGGTCGGGTTTTGTTGGTCGGTTTTGGTTCGGTCTTTTTCTAACCCAAAATTGTATACCGCTAACCAAACCGAATATGAGTAAATCGGTTTTGATCGGTTCAGTTTTGCTAGGTTTATTGGTCAGTTTCGTTTTTTTGGTTTTTCTGTTCGCCCCTAGTTTCTATGTAATAGTCTTATACTCTTTTGACAGACTGACAGAGTTTCAGTACCTTAAGGGATTGTTGATTGGGTGGTCTTGGAGGGTATGGTAGGCTTTACTAACATATCTCTATTTATTAGTTGTAGACCAAAAAATATGCAGTAACAACTATATGTTCACTTAAATAATGGATCACTGTATATCACCCCTCCCATCTGAAATGTAAGAATTAATTATTTAAATTAAATATCACCCTTCCCATCAAATCTTCCATCCGTATAAGGGCTAAATGTTAGAAAGATTGTCTATGAGTTACACATCCTGCATCATTCTTGAGGTAGAACATAGAAAATAACAAAATGTTGGCAATTACTCCCTCCTTCCCACAAATGGAGCCCGCTTATTTTTTTTCACACAAAGTATCCTATTTGAGCAAAAAAGCTAATTTATTACTCTATATTTGATGTGTTTTTTCCAAAAAAGTGTCCCAAACAATTTACATATGTTAAATATAATTATATCATTATATAAAGCTATTTTTTTTTTATGTTAAAAAGTTATATATCAAATATAGCTAGAGTTGATGATCTCCAATAGTTGTACTTTAGTATGATTCAAAAGTTGTACCTTTGAGAAACAACCCTTTTTTAGAATGATATTTATATGTTCTTTTAATAGACTATGCATTTCTTTCTTTTGGTCTTCAAGTTGGCCGTTGGTAGTCTTATTTTACTTGACAGTATATCCAAATTTAAACATTGTTAACATAATCCAGGGAACATTCAAAAAAATTCAAACCTGAAGATATGGAGCAACGAATGGAAGCTAAAAACTGTGTGGTTACTGGTGCAAATTCTGGCATTGGCTTTGCAATTACTGAGGGCCTTGCTTCACGGTTTGGAGTCATTTCTGTTCAACCTTTTTTGAATTAGCTTTTTTCTCATTAACGTACAAAAGTTATAAATTTTTCCGATGCTATGAGCACACTGATGTATGAAAAATTGGACTCTAAGGAAGGAGAACAAGGTATCTATAGACTTGCTCGTCTTCGTGATTGCAGGACTCAAGATATCGGAAAAGTTAAATGTGTGAAGGATGTCGATCAAAGGATATTAATGGAGGACAGAGAGATAAAAGAGAGGTGGATGTCATACTTTGATACATTGTTCAATGGGAACAAAGTGCAAGATATCGGTGATTTGACCATACCGGATTGTATGGTAAATCGTGATTTTGTGAGAAGGATCCAAACAACGGAAGTTAAAGAGGCTCTGAGGAAGATGGGGCGGAAGAAAGCAGTGGGTCCAGATGGCATACCGATCGAGGCTTGAAGAAGTTTGGGAGAGAGAGGCATCGAGTGGTTAACAAATTTCTTCAACAAGATTTGGAGAAACAACAAGATGCCAATGAGTTGGAGAAAGAGTACTCTTATTCCTTTATTTAAGAATAAAGGTGATGCACAAGAATGTGCCAACTATCGAGGGATTAAGCTTATGAGTCATACCATGAAACTTTGGGAGCGAGTGATTGAGCAAAGACTTCGAAGAACGGTGAAGATTTCAGAGAATCAATTCGGTTTTATGCCTGGTCGCTCAACAACTGAGGCTATTCACCTTCTTCGACAACTTATGGAGAAGTATAGAGACGCCCACAAGGATTTGCATTTTGTGTTCATTGACTTAGAGAAGGCATATGATAGGGTACCTCAAAAGTTCTTTGGTGGGCCTTAACTAGAAAAGGCATTTCACGCAAGTATATCAGCATCATCATGGATATGTATGAGGATTGTACTACAAGTTTCCGTACTAGTGTACGGAGGACTGCGGAGTTCCCTATTACTATCGGAGTGCACTAAGGATCGGCTCTAAGCCCTTTCTTATTTGCCATAGTCATGGATGAACTTACAAAGTCATTTCAAGACGATATACCGTGGTGCATGATGTTTGCCGACGATATTGTATTGATTGATGAGACGCAGTCAGGGGTAAAACAAAGTTGGAAGTATGGCGACAAACATTGGAGAACAAGGGTTTCAGACTAAGTCGGAGCAAGACGGAGCACATGAAGTGCAAGTTTGGTGGAGGTAGAAGCAGTGGTAATAGCATAATTACTCTAGATGGTAAGGAGATACCGGTCAGCGATATGTTCCGTTACTTGAGCTCCATAATTCAGAAGGACGGTGAGTTAGATGGAGATGTATCTCATAGGATCATAACAGGGTGGATGAAGTGGAAGAGTGCGTCAGGATTTCTATGCGATCGAAGTATGCCGACTAGACTGAAGGGTAAATTTTATAGAACAACAATTAGGCCTGCATTACTGTATGACACAGAGTGTTGGACGGTGAAACAATGTCACATTCAAAAGATGAATGTGGCAGAGATGCGCATGCTGCGTTGGATGTGTGGGCATACTAGAAAGGACCGCGTGAGGAATGAGACAATTAGACAAAGAGTGGGAGTAGCACCTATTGAAGATAAGATGCGGGAGTCGCGCCTACGGTGGTTTGGTCATGTGCATAGAAGACCGAGTGATGCACCTGTCAGACGAGTTGAGATGTGTGGAGGAGAGGCAGGGAAGAGAGGGAGAGGAAGGCCCAAACAGACGTGGGTTAGGGGGTCAGAAGTGATATGCTTCTGCTTGGATTGGATGAGGGTATGGCTTTGGAGAGAACAAAGTGGAAGACGGGTATTCGTGTGGAGGAGTGATCTTGTTTCATCTTTTTTTTTTTCTTCTTCTTTTTTTATCCTTTTATCCTTATATATATATTATTTTTATCCTTTTTATTTTATCTTTTATATGTATATTCATTTGGGGTAAATGAAAACGAAAACGAATGTATATTCATCTCTTCTATATTATCTTTTTTATAATAGCTTATCTTTTTTATCTTTATTTTCTTTCTTTTCCTTTTGGTGATATCATGTATCGATTCATGTTAGCCGACCCCAATATCGTTTGGGACTAAGTCTTGGATGTTGTTGTTGTATGAGCACACTGATCTTGTTGATATGTGTTTTCAGTGGAGCAACTGTATATATGGTGTGCCGGAATAAAGAGAGGGGAGAAGCAGCGCTTTCCAAAATTCAGTCAACAACTGGGAATAAGAATGTTTTCTTGGAAGTAATTGGCTCAGTATCCTTTGCATGATTTGTACAAGTCATTGTATGTGTTGTAGATAACTTATCATTTTTTTTTGTTGTGTGTGCAGGTGTGTGACATTTCATCTGTTAGTGATATCAAAGCATTTGCCTCCAGATTTTGTTCAACTAATTTGCCCGTTCATGTCCTGGTATTTCCCCCTGTTTTTTTATATCTTAAAATATAACATTTCATTGATTGGACAATGTTATTTCTTTTGGTTTGTTTGTACTGCAAGTTATTTATAGGCTGGCTTTCCTTTGTTCACTCAAGTTTCTTTGTAGCTGATAGTATCTTATTTCTTAAGGTAAATAATGCTGGACTTCTAAAGAACAATAGAGTTACTACACCAGAAGGGTATATCGAATTTTCTTTCAAGAAAATGATTTTATATTTATAAACATTGTTGATAAATAAGGTGATAACAATACACGATATTCTTGTACCAATATCAGATATGAGCTGAATTTTGCTGTGAACGTTCTTGGAACTTATACCATAACAGAGCTGATGTTGCCACTCCTTGAGAAGGCTGCACCTGATGCACGGGTGATTACAGTTTCATCTGGGGGAATGTACACTTCCCCCTTAACGAATGATTTAGAGGTTGAATTACAAGCAATACATTTCATTTTGTTTGCATGGATCGTTTATGTTCTGAGTTCTAATATATTGTTTTTTTGCAGTTTAGTGGTAACATATTCAACGGTGTTGAACAGTATGCTCGTAATAAGCGAGTGCAGGCATGTATTATCTTAAAGCTTAATTATTATTTTCATAATGATTTAAACATAGGGTTACTCTTACCCATCACAGCTTAACAAATTTTGGCGAGCCTTGTTTATTTATTTATTTATTTATTTATTTATTCACTCACTCACTCACTCACTCACTCACTCACTCACTCACTCACTCACTCACTCACTCACTCACTCACTCACTCACTCACTCACTCACTCACTCACTCACTCACTCACTCACTCACTCACTCACTCACTCACTCACTCACTCACTCACTCACTCACTCACTCACTCACTCACTCACTCACTCACTCACTCACTCACTCACTCACTCACTCACTCACTCACTCACTCACTCACTCACTCACTCACTCACTCACTCACTCACTCACTCACTCACTCACTCACTCACTCACTCACTCACTCACTCACTCACTCACTCACTCACTCACTCACTCACTCACTCACTCACTCACTCACTCACTCACTCACTCACTCACTCACTCACTCACTCACTCACTCACTCACTCACTCACTCACTCACTCACTCACTCACTCACTCACTCACTCACTCACTCACTCACTCACTCACTCACTCACTCACTCACTCACTCACTCACTCACTCACTCACTCACTCACTCACTCACTCACTCACTCACTCACTCACTCACTCACTCACTCACTCACTCACTCACTCACTCACTCACTCACTCACTCACTCACTCACTCACTCACTCACTCACTCACTCACTCACTCACTCACTCACTCACTCACTCACTCACTCACTCACTCACTCACTCACTCACTCACTCACTCACTCACTCACTCACTCACTCACTCACTCACTCACTCACTCACTCACTCACTCACTCACTCACTCACTCACTCACTCACTCACTCACTCACTCACTCACTCACTCACTCACTCACTCACTCACTCACTCACTCACTCACTCACTCACTCACTCACTCACTCACTCACTCACTCACTCACTCACTCACTCACTCACTCACTCACTCACTCACTCACTCACTCACTCACTCACTCACTCACTCACTCACTCACTCACTCACTCACTCACTCACTCACTCACTCACTCACTCACTCACTCACTCACTCACTCACTCACTCACTCACTCACTCACTCACTCACTCACTCACTCACTCACTCACTCACTCACTCACTCACTCACTCACTCACTCACTCACTCACTCACTCACTCACTCACTCACTCACTCACTCACTCACTCACTCACTCACTCACTCACTCACTCACTCACTCACTCACTCACTCACTCACTCACTCACTCACTCACTCACTCACTCACTCACTCACTCACTCACTCCAGCGAGTGCAGGCATGTATTATCTTAAAGCTTAATGATTTAAACATAGGGTTACTTATTTATTTATTTATTTATTTACTCCGTATTTTTTATAACGCGGGTGCCTTAAACTTTTATCTAGAATCATCACACAGACCCTAAAGTTAATGTCCTTGTAAATTTCAAGTGGCCCTCTCGAGTTGAACTCGGGTGGCGTTGCACAGACAACTCTTTGTTCACGGGTTCATGCTAGTCAATCAACCCAGCCGGCTGTCACATATATTTATCTCCATCAACACATGAAGGGAATTCAGCCTCTACATTTTTGCTACTCTTTTCTTTTGTTTAACTGGTTTTTGACAATTAAGTGACACTATATTAATGTCATCGGACCTGATATTATTGGGATTGCGGCGGTGATGATGATGAGTTATATTGTTTAGAGTTGATCTACTATATAGCTTAATGCATATTGTATATTTGTTAGTCACTTAGTTGAGAATATCACCTGATAATATTACGAAAATAAAGATTTCTGACACAAGCAGAATGCTATGTTATGTTAGGTTGCATTGACAGAGAAATGGTCTGAAATGCATAAAGAAAAGGGTATTGGCTTTTATTCGATGCACCCTGGATGGGCAGAGACTCCTGGTGTTGCAAATAGTCTCCCAACCTTCTCAAAATCGTAAGTACTCCCACCCATATCCCTATTTCCCAACAAAGTTATCCAAAGCCCCGAGTGTATTTCACTCTCCTTGTTCTGACGTTTTGCTATATCGGCCTTGGGCGCCGCCTAACCTTCTTAGGGTGTGGACATGGTTCAGATTCTCCTTCTGTAACAGTTAGTCCTGGTTCCCCATTTCGTAGGAACCCGATCAGAACCTTAAAAGGCACAGGCCCGGTTCTTAGTACCGGCGGTTCCAATTCGGTTCTAGTCAAATTATGATTTACACTTTGTAAGGTGGTCGTGTGCCGCTCCTCCATTTGATAGGGAACCAGTATCTGAGTGTCCACCCTCAAAGGCCGCCTAGTGGTTTTAGGGCACTGTTTCAACATTACTTTAGTTTTTAGTGCCCATTCATGATTCTTCAAGTGATGCAATATTTGGCCAATAAGCTCAAGCAGATATATGAAAAAAAATTAAAAAAAGGAAAAAATATTGGGCAGATATAGATGGATATTGATGTGAGTCATTTTCCCAGATTTGAAGGGAAGCTCAGGACAAGCGAGGAAGGAGCAGATACAGTAGTGTGGTTGGCCTTGCAGCCGAAAGAAAAGTTGGTTCCCGGAGCGTTTTATTTTGACAGAGCTGAAGCACCCAAACATCTGTTCTTTTCAGGCACCAAAAGCAGCTCGCAATCTATTATAGACTCCATCGTTGAAAATCTGCGGTCTTTTGCTGGCCTTTCTGGCGTTTGATGGTGAATTCTTCCTACCTGGATGTCACAAGACTGCAACCCAAGGGATTTCAGGATTTTCTACATCCAATTGCTTGCTTTGGTACATATACAGGAAACAGTTTGTAGTATTGAAAAAATAAGTGTGGGAATGTTTGCTTTTGTGAATGTTACTTCAATGCTTTACCCAATTGTAATGGAGTTGTAAACGAATCAGTGTTCCTAGAAATTCCGATTGCCTCAAGAATTTAATACCAGTTCTTGAGGCACTTCTCCGTGTTGCAGACTTGCAGCTGATCTGGACTGTCAAGGAGCCTCATAAAGTGGCCTTGGAGAAGGAGGCTGAAGAGCAAGTCAAGCCCCTAGAAAAGAAGACTACTTTCCCTTCTTCTAATAAATTTGTAATGAAGAATCGACATAAGTCAAACCGCAAGCATAAGAAATCGAGTCACGACAAAAATCGAAATTGAATTCTAGCTACTTGATTTCAAGCTTAAGATAAAAACTTAGAGTCATTTGTATAATATTTGGCTCTAGTGTATAATTCGACTATATCAAGAGGCTGTTTGGCAGCACTGTTTTTCGGCTTATCAGGCTTATCAGCCAATTTTTTCACCAAACACGTAACTTTTACTTTCGCGCGCTGAGTTGTGTAATAAGCAGAAAAAGTAAGGTTGGAGTTACTTTTCTGGCTGTTTTGGCTGAAGTCACTGTAGATGACCATTTTGGCTATTTTTACATATAATTTTTTCTTTATTTTATTAATAAAATATATTTTAAAAATAATTGTTTCTTAAATCAGCATAATCAGCCAATACAGCCACTTCAGCCAGAACTTCAGGAATTTCAGCAGAATCAGCCAAAACAGCCGATTTCTGTGCTACCAAACGGACTCCAAGTTTACATATATAGAAAGTGCACTTAAATTGCAAAACCGAATATGAATATAATAAAATTGCTATTTAAAAACAAAAGCTAAAAGAGGATTAGATTGAATACAAAGTCGTTAAGGGAACGATTAGTATGGAATGAATATGGTAGCCCGTCTAAACATTAATTCACTTGTTTTTTTAGGAAAAGTACAGAAAAGATACCTGGGGTTGGGCCCGTTTTCAAATAGGGTCATGTGTTTCATTCTTTATCAAAGGGGTTCATGTGTTTGAATTCCGTTATCACAAGAGGGTCACGCCGTTAAAAATGTCTGAAAAAAAGCCGTTCTAAGTAACCTTGATCTTTAAAAGTTCCCGAAAAATTAAAAGATAAATACCGGAAGGTGCGCCTCAATAAGACGACTGCTGTCTGCTAGGCCATCTTTTTTTTTTTTTTTTTTTCAGCCACCCTTGTCACCGAAAAGTCCACCGGAAAAGTGATATCAGCGAAATCATTTTTAAAAAATAATCCAAACAAATCTGAAAAATCCAAGGCGAAGGTGGTTTGGAGGTCATCAAGATGAGGCGCACCTTTCATTATTTTTCTTTTAATTTTCTGGGCACTTTTGAAAATCGGAGTTACTTTTAACGGCCTTTTTCAGACATTTTTCAGACAAGATAACGGAATTCAAACACATGAACCACTTTGATAAAGAATGAAACACATGACCCTATCTGAAAACGGGCCCAACCACAAGTACATTTTCCGTACTTTTCCCTTTTTTTTTTATAATGGCATATCAATATTTAAAACGAATATTGGTAATCTTTAGCTGCTAAAACATTATATTTATACTTCATATTCTGTATTTAATTGTTAGTTGATCCAAAATCTTTTGAGATTAAAACCTGAATATTTGTCAGTGTATTCTATTATGCCATTACTTAGTATCGCGCAGATATTGAACCGTGACATCTAAATGAATTGAACTTACATTAACCTTTCATTAAAAGAAAATCATTAATATTGTAATTAACTTTTATTGTAATTAACTAACTAAACACAATAACACATAAATAAACCAACTGGTTTCCACAAAACATGAATGTCATTTCATAAGGGAGTTATATATAGGGTCTAATTTCGGTGATGCAAAATCTACCCGGATGAAATGAGTATGTCTTGAAGTGATGGACATTTATGATTATAATAACGTACAACTCAACTGGACAAAAAAAATTGAATGTATTTACAAAAATACCATCACATGTTTCGATTCATGATAGTGCACATTTATGTATTACATAATGACAATTTCCGAATATAACGCTTCGGATTCATTCTCTCTCTCTCTCACACTATATATATATATATAACTCAAATTAAACTAGTATATTTACTTAAAAATTAAATATAAAAATTCATTCCGGTACCAACATAAGGTTGTATAGGTGATCCAAACCACATTCTTCCATTATGCTCTTCAATTTCACTTACAAATTCAAGAGTATCACCACCATCACCATTCATAACTTGAATTGCCCTTCCATTTCCATCAAACAACACACCCAATAACTCGTCAAAGTATCCTACCTTTAGTGTGTTCAATGCGACCCAATAGTTTCCTTGACCGTTCCTTCTGATATTATCAGGGAACATACCCACTATAGCAAAAATATATGGGGTTCCTATATCAAATCTCATAAGTGGGAATTTTAGAATTTGATATCTTGCTGATTCAACTACAAGGAGATAAGTATTATCTTCTGATAGAACAATGCCATTTGGAAATGCTAACCCACTATATAGTACGCTCACTTGTGTGGTAGTTGGGTCAAATCTCAGGAGCCTTCCAGTGCTATCTCCATTTATAATGATCTGTAAAAAGTCCCTGATCACATATAATTGGGAAACATATACATGATTGTGTGCAAACAACCAATAATTAATGTTGCAAATTTTAAGTTTAAATAATTAGGTGATACCTTCTTTGGTAGTGAAGGCTGCTATCTGTGAAAAAGACAACTCCAGTTGTAGGATGGATATCTAAATCATTAAGAAATTTGAAAGGAGTTCCTTGAGCTGAATTTGCAAGTTGAGTAGCAACTCCACCATTTGATCCAACTCTCATCAATCCAAAATAAGCATCCGTTATATAAAGTTCACAAGTTTTGGGATGAAACTTTAGACCTAGTGGTCTGCCGCATTGTGGCTCTCTATTAGGGTCATTTGTTCCATCGCATAACACTCTATCCCTAATCAAAAACATCATTGACATTATGGCATTAGCTCACTATAATTAAGAATATTTGAGTGGATGAGGGATTTAAAGGGTCAAGTGAATATATTGTATACACTTTAAAATATATTTTTAGTCCTCTAAAGTCTTAAGTAAAGGTTCTCACTTGCATTTTTGGACGTTCCATTTAAAGATTATCATTTCTATTTAGGAAATAATTAACACTATCAAACGATAATGTAATAATCACATACTAAAAATAATACACTCATACCATTGTAAAACATTATCTAGCAATTATCCAATTATATTATATATCCACCCAAATTACTTTTAAGAATAGACTCCAATTATTTTACTCTATTACTCCGTATTATCTAAAAATTGCGACACCACTTTCGCACTCTAGCGGCACCGACGACGCCCTCCACTTTCTCCTGAAACGCCGCCACTGCCACTCTTGAGTGAAACTGCTACCGCCACCCTTTTGGCTGGCGATGACCTCCTCCGACAATTGATCTCCTCCTCCGATAAAGCTGCCACCTCCTGCCATTGCCTTTAGAAAGACTATTTTCCCGTGCGACCACTGCCGATCCCCAACTTGGAATAACCGTAAAAAAATATGAATCTTTGTAAAACCACAAATATGATTCATATTACGATCTTGAACTTAATAATGATATATTGATGCCTTGGAAAAGCGTCATGGAAAATGACATTCATCATCATTACCCCAGTGCCGCAAAGACTCCCACCTACGGTGGGCTAAGGGGGAGTTGGATGTACGCAGTCTTACCCCTATACTAAAGTACACAGAGACTGTTTCCGAATGACACATAGTGAAAATCGCGACGAAAATTGCATAGATTGACTATTACTTCATAACAAAGAAGCGCAGACAGTTTAGTGAGCCATTTTGTTTTATTCCATTATATTCCCAAGCCAAAAAATAGTGAGTCTTTGGCTCCGTGGAAACCGTCATGAAAAATGACATTATTTACCAAATATAATGTCATGTTTTGAATTGCTTGCCTATCTCAATATATCATTCAATATATACAACATTAAATCAAACTCAGAGTAGGTCATAAACAAAATTGCATACCTGTTAGGTGATGTAATAGCAAACTCAATCCAATCTTGATTTGATGCATTCCATCTTAAAATTCTTCCATCTGACACACCAGTATAAGGCCCTTGGCCATTACAATCAAAAGCAAGACTTTCAGGACCAGCAACTCCTGTTGGTAAATTCAATTGATGATAATCTTCTAGAGTGGCTGAAGTCATGGCTTCCAATTTAAAAAAAAAAAAGAATAGGAGAAAAATGTACAAGACAGCCATGATAGTAGTGCAGCAAAACTAGGCATAATACTGGCTATGTACTCGTATCAGAACAATATATATAGATTACACAATGGGAACGCTGACCTTGGCACTATTTGACCTAAAATCTAACTTTAGTTTCATTTCCACTGCTCCTCTGCCATTTCCAGTAGATTTCATTTAATACAGGCAATTATGTAAGCCAGCAAGTGCATTTAAGGAAATGTCTAATTTCTGAAGGGCCTTCAATTGGCTGGTACTGTTGGTATGAGGGCCTAAAAACAGGTAAGCTATAACGGATTTAATCCTAAAAAAAGTATAAAAAATCTTTTATGTAGCATGTTTAAGATTGTCGTATTTTTCATTTTCGGTCCGTTCCACTAAGATTGTCTCTTTTTAATCATAACATGTTGAATTTTATACTATTCACATATTCTACTTTAATTACATTTATATTATTATTATTTTATGAATTTTTTTTTAAAATTATATTGTTCAATTCATCTCATTACAAATTTTCAAAATCTAATTTTTAAATATTTTTTACTTATAGGGATTAAGATATAATTATGGTCAAAGATGTGTGTTGGCAAATGTGAAATGTTGACCGTTGCAACTAAAAAGAATGGAGGAAGTATTACTTTATCAACCTAATGTCAACCACATAAAATCACTTTTCTTAATGACCGTGTCATCTCATAATGTCTCAATGTTAGTAGAACAGAGATAGTATATGCAATCTTATTAATATTTGAAACACATTATGCAATTTTAAAAATTAATGATTTATTTTTATGTGATTTATTTGGGAAAACTGTCAAATAGGTCCTCGAACTTTCATAAAAAAGTCAATTAAGTCCTTCTATAGGAGACTTTGTCCGGTCATCGCGATTTGGGGCGGTTCCCGGTAAAATTTTTTGATGAATTTTTTTGAGAATCTTATTCATCAAGCCTAGATTGCTCATACCAAATTTCAGCTAAAAATTTAATCGGGAGCGCATTCAAATTAATTCGAGAACGCAAAAATGCGGAGTTATCTTCAAGAATTAATTTGAATGTGTTCCCGATTGAATTTTTAGCTGAAATTTGGTATGAGTAAACTAGACTTGGTGAATAAGATGCTAAAAAAAATTCATCAAAAAATTCCACCGGGAACTGACCCAAATCGCGACGGCCAGACAAAACCTCCTATAGAAGGACTTAATT